GAAAGGAACCAGGTAATGACACAGTGACAGACTGCACCTTCATGCCTGCATACGCAGGGGTGGTGGCAGGGGCACACAGGCAGCCTCGCACTGCTGTGTAACTGCCTTGCAGATATGAACACCTTGCTTAGCAGTCATACAGATGCTCTTTTAATGCCTAGGACACGTGTAATCTCCTAGTTTTTTGCCAGAGCAAGCTAAAAAAAAAAAAGAGGAAAACATCAATCCAAGCAATATCAAATTACCATGTCTTAAGTTCACCAACAGGACAGACTCGTATGTTCAGCTCACAAGCCCCTGCTGCTTAACTGACTAATTGATTCCACAAGCAACATGCGATGTCCCACATGGATCGGTGACAGATGCTTGGCTAGGAGCTCTCACAGCTCTTTCCTGGCACCAGAGCAGAAGCAAGAGCCAACCTAGGGTCTAGGGGAGATGATGCTCAGCATCTGCAACACCCACTTTGCCCACACTGACCGGTTTCCACCCCATATTCCTCACTCCCTATCTCGCTGAGTCCCGCTGCTTCCCCACTCGTCGCTCCTCCCCTCACCTTGTACCCACACCTGGCTTCTTGTAACACCTCCCTGCGGTGCCAAAGCATCCTAATCCCCTGCTCCAGGTTAGCTGTCACTGCATAGTAATTCACAATTAAATGCAAAGAGCTGGCCCATGGCTCCCCAAGATGCAAACTGTTGGAGGCTAAGCAAGAGTTCTGGAAGTATCATTATGCTCTTAGCTTGTCCTCACACTTTCCTCAAGAGCTTCTGTTGACCCCTGTCTGAGTCAGGATACTGGGTGAGAGGCACCTTGATTTAATCTAGGCCAGCTGTTCCCACATCGAAACTCTGTTCTCTTGCATTCCTCCATTTAGGGCCTTTTTGCCTGACCTGAAATAGGTCTGTCCTCTTTATTTCTCATCTATAAACATTTCCTAAAATAATAAGTCCCTTCTGACCACACGCAAGCTTCAACTATTTTCAAAGGCTTGAGCCTTGGCCAAATGTATTTAGATTATTGATGGCAGCAAGCAACATCCCCGGCCTAGAAACTCCCTCTTGAAAAATGTCAAGCCCCTGGCTCCACAGCACCAGCACTTCAAAGAACAGGTTAAACACATTTCTGAACATTTTACATGAAGGAAACAGCATTTTTTCCTGAACCTGTTCTCAGAGCAGACTACGGAATTGAGCTGATCTCTTCCAGAGCACGCTGCCTAAAAGGGACACCCAGAATATAAACTCAACTCAGAAAGTTTAGCAAAGTCACAAGCACTTGGAAACAAAGCACCATCACAGGAAGCGCCAGGTTGCCTTAAAAGACATGCAATACTGAGAACACTTTGCTTAAGGAAAGCATGGTGCCACCTGCACCCGCTCCTGCTGCGATGCACACTCACATGCAGAGCATAAGAATATGCCCAAATCTCTGCTCCAAAAAGAGGTAAATACTCGAGGCAGCACCAGTTGAACAGTTACTTTCACAGGTTTTTTTAATAAAAATATCTCTCAAAAGAAAAAAAAGAAAAGAAAAACACAGGAAAGTCAGAAGTCATACAGCTGCTTTACTTCTCTGCTAAATATTTACATTTGTTAAAAATATTAAAAGCTGTTTTGCTTCAGGGTGGGGAGGGAAGCTTTAGCATTTAAGTAAAAATTTCCTTTTGTGGAAGGTTTACACCCCCTCCATGGTACATATCCATCACATTAAGCAAACGATCAAGCTGATAAAACCAGCAATTACATTTCCTCAAAAAATGGGGGGGGGGAGCGGGAATAATTTCATTCTGGTTTGTCATGAAAAGCTCTTACTTCTCTCTAACACAGCATTCCCCGAAGTAAATATTTTCAGAGAATTATTCCCTTTCTCCCACCAAGATCCATTAAAAAAACATGCATTTCTTACAGGTCAGTCAAAGTCTGGACTCTACAACTTTGCTGCCTGCTGACCATTCTCTTAAGGGAGCCTTATGATTCCTGTAATAGTTTCATGTCCTGTGCTTCAGAGAAAAATAACTGAGCCCTTGACTAGGCCTAACAACACTGTGCATGCCATATTACTTTACAAGGCATTTTCTCCCTTGCATTAACATCCAAACTCAATGTAATCTCACATTTACGTTCACAAGAAGCTTTACAATGCTCCAAAATCATTTAAAATATTTCTAATCCTATTAGCAGGTATAGGAGATTTCAAGGTAGATTATGTTTCTCCACCATCAAGCCTACTTAATTTTAAGCTCGAATACTGTGGTTTTCTTTCTCTCCTTGTTAGCTAGGATGCAACTCTAGTACCTGTATGAAACTTGTAAGTGCAGGTGAAAGCAAAGCTTTACTGCTCAGTGACAAAGCCACCATTTTTGTTGTTCAGCAATCTGGTACCTTGGGGCAACATTGCCAAGAAAATATCAAAGGACAAGGAATGTCTCAAACAGTAAAAGGAGAAAGGCCAGACTGCAAGCTCTCCTGGACAAGGGTTATCTCTGTGTCATATGTTTGCACACGGTCTAATACACCAGGTCTCAACAGGGAACCACAAACTGTAGCACAATGAAATCACTAAGTGGCAATAATCCTTGGGATGAAAAACACCGATCAGGTCGTCCAGTCCATTCCCCAAACAATGCCAGTCTGTTCCCAGCTGTACACTTGAGGAGATTAAATGCCAGTGAAATGGTATTCAGTGTCTTGAAACATATAAGCAAATTAAGTGTGCAGTGAGTATGCAGTTTCTGGGTCGTCCAGTCCAGTCCCATGCAGGAACGTGGCAGGTATGAATATTACCACGGAGAGCTTTGTCCATCTGCTTTGATGACCTCGCTCTTCTTAAGCTTTCCCCAACAGGAATACCAACAGTTCTGTGACATGGACAGTCACAGTAGGAAAAAAAGGCTATTTTTAGATCCCATCCTCCATCTGCTCAAACACAACTTTGCTTGGATATCAAGCATGTGCTTGCAGCCTCTCCTCTGCACCGAGTCTTACTTTAAAACCTCATCATTTGCAGCCCAAGGTAGCTCTGAAAAACATCTTTATAAGCAAAAGGCAAGAAAAAAAAATGCACCACCTCATTCAAAATGAAACCTGACACATGATCTTAGAAACAACTTTATTACTAGAGACAGTAAAATAACATGTTTATAAAGGGTCACATGTCATTCGCTCCATGAATATTAGCAGCTGGCTTTTACAGACTATGTGGAGCCTTCGTTCTGCCTAAATAATGAAAACCTCCTCTCCTACCACCACCTTTGAGCCCCAAATACAACTCATGCCTTTCAGATACTGCTGGTTCCTCCCAGCATCCCACTTTGCTTACTTTATGGAAAAGAGCATGACAAATTTACAGTGACACAAGGTTGCTAGTCCACACGCAACACTGACAAGCCAGCTCAGACTTGCAAAGCAGCATGAAATGCTCCAAGCAGCCCGGAGTGGTTCACAGTCCATGCTATCCAGTTAACCCTGAAATAAGCAGCACATTTTAGGCATGACTGGAATTGAGGTGCTTTTATTTTGGAGTGCCCAGTTTGAGATGTGATTTTCAGGATGAACCCTAAAGGCCATAAAGAAAATTCCAATCCTTTAAATAGGGCTTAAGGCTAACAACTTAAAGTTCAGTCCATTTTTGAGAACTAAAATTCTGTATATATTTTCTCTCTTTTAGCCATGAGAGAGTGTGGCGACAAGGTTTTAAAGCAGCCAAATAGAGACTTACAGAAAATAAGGACATTTTTTAACAGCCTCTACGTGTCTCATCAGACGGACATGTGGAAACATGAAATAAAAGATAGCATGATTCATGGGAAAAACCTAAACCAATGATTTACTATCCAAACTCCTTCACTGCAGCATAGCCATTTCGTTAACAGCCAACTAGCACAGCAGTACAAACAGCACGAGCTTTCCTTCTGTGATCATAAAGTTTTATTACAGATAGACACCACCTTAGCAAACAACTGCCTCCTAAGCACACCTCCTATGAGGAGGACTCCTACCCCCGAAAGAGACCTCCTGCTCACACACCATACGAAACCCCTGGAGCAATTACAAACACAACCTGCCTGGTAGATGATTAGCAAAAGCGTTTAGGAAATACTTCTGCACAGATCAGCAGTGGGAACTAAGGGGAAGAGAGTCCCCCTGGGTGCCAGACTGCTTTATAATGTTGTCCCCACTAGCCACGTGGACACTCATGGCATTAGCAGAAATATTAACTTTAATCCTGAGCTCACACAATTCCTGAGCAAAGCTGCTCCTGTCAAAAGCTCTTTGCAAGATTCCAGGCCTGCCTGTTTGGAGCGAGGTCCATTACTTTATGCTGTCTGACAACAGACCACAGTCAACACTTCAGACAAGCTGGATTAGGCCTAGCAAAGGGACATGCTGGTACGGAAAGCACTAACACAAGCTGCAAGCTTGCGCGAGTTACACAATTACTTGGGCATCACCAGAACAGCTAAACTTTCTCTGCTAAACATTAGTATTTCCTATCATCTTTAAAAAAAGAAAAAAAAAACCCAAACCCACTAAGATATAGGCACTGGCACTCAAAACTGAACTAGAGAGAAAAAAAAATAGAGTAACAACAATGAACAAACAAAAGCCCTATTTTCAGCTCCCTCCAAATCACACACGCTAGTGAACCGCACACATACTAAAACCTACAAAACCAGTAACATAAGCACTTACAGATCAGACCAGAACAGCACATCTTTGCTTCCTACTTCTAGTAGCATGAAGATAGTTAATCTGTTCGATCTGATTAATCTCGCACCAGCACAGCTCCTATCCATCTGACGACATGGCTATTTGAAAGAAACCTCACTTGCACTTTCATGAACATCTCAAGCCTTTATGGGAACAGCTGGCATCATTAAACAAAAAGTTCATTTTAAAAGAATTAATTTGAAGGAAACAGGTAGCATCTTACAGATCCCCAGAATTACATATGCATCTACTGCATCTCCAGAAGAAATAACAAAACCATCGTATTACCTGGAGCATCAATTCGCAGTCATCTCTGCCAACAAATATCATCTCCCGAGGGAGCCGGTGGCGAATGCCGGTACTGCTCACCAAGAACCACGACGTCACGCTCATTTTGGCGCTTGGCATTTATCCTTTACACATCCTGAACGCACAAAAATATAAAGACACATGACATTAAAGTGCAGAAATACACTGGTGTATAGATGCAGTTCTGAAGCCTCCCTGAGCCATGGGACCCCGTGCTGCCTCCTGCAGATGGGTTCACATGATAAATTCTTGTGGCAACCTGCAATCACAAAGATCGGCTGCCCGAGTGCCACGAGTGGAAGCCACAACCCTAAAGCAGCAGAAATATTCCCAAAGTAGGACTGATGATATGCCAGAAAGGCTGTTTCCAAAAAGAAGTAAGCAGCTGAATCCAGTGGCTGAAAAGCGGAAATATAGTTAATAGAAACAGACTTTCTTTCCCAGAACGTTTCCTGACCGCTAGCAATTCATGGTGCAAGAAGCACGGCTCAGAGCCCACATCCTCAGAGCCGGCCCAGCACAGACAGAGGTGACACGGCCGGGCCCTGCAGCCTCCCCCGGCTCGCGGCGCGGTCGCAGCGGTGCTGGGAGGAGCGCGGCCTCCCACTGCTCACCCCACTTCCTCGCAGATAACCTGGGCGCCCGCAAATCCTCCCCCCTCACCTCACGGGCAGGGAAGAAACAAGAAAAAGAAGCAGGGCACGTCGGGATGCGCTGCCCCTCCGTCTCCCGGGAACCTGTGCTCTTATCGGGCCCCCCCCAGCCGCACCTGCTCGGTGCCGCGGCCGCACACGGGCAGCTATCGCACATCCGCTCCCTCTCCTCCTCCTCGCGCAGGATCACGTTTTCCTCTCCTCTCCTCTCTCCCTGAAGGAAAAAAAAATTAGCACAAATCAGCCTCTCTCCTTCCCTTCACCCCCTTCAACCTCCTGAGATCAAAGCTGCAATTCTGAACCCGTGGAGAGAATTATTATTATTATTATTATTTTTAACCCGTGCCTCAGTCTGGTGCCCGGCGTTACAGCCGCTCTCCTGCATCCTCACCCGGAGGCCTGGGGACAGCGCAGGTGACAGCGGCGCAATAAAGCAGCAGAATTAATGACCTCTGCGGCAAAACAACAAAAAGCAGACGGGGAGGGGGGCAGGAAGGGAGGGTATTTAACGTATCGCCCCCTCCGCAGCATGGGCTGCGTTGCTGCTCGGTGGTCTCGGGGACGCTGCACACAGGAAAATTAATAACAATAATAATGTTAACACGGCTCGGAGCCCCCAGACGAGGCTCCCCCCCCAAACCCCCC